TGCATCCAAGGTCTTTTCCCACTGTGGCTCTGTTTTCCTTCTCTTCCCAGCACCCATGATGCATTCCTTCGATTTTGCAGACTTTCTCTTTTCCCCTCCATCTCATAGAATTAAAACTTCCCAGTCTTCTCACTACAAGTGTGAGGATATTTTCTGTTTCCTTTAATACGATGAGCCATTGTGAGGACCAAGTAATAGAAAGTGCTATACACAAACAAATCATGAGGATGGAGAGATGGTTTAGTGATTAAGAACACTTGTTGCTCTTGCAGAGGACCCAGGTTCAGTTCCCAGCACAACATGGTGGCTCACAACCCTCTGTAACTCCAGTTCCAGGAGATCTGACACCCTTCTAACTTCTGACACTTCTAACCTCCATAGGCATCAGGCATGCATGTGGTGCACAATACATACATGTAAGCAAACCTTTCATACATATAAATCCAAAAAATATTAAAACCTCAACAAATCACTATCAATTCATGCATGACAACAGCTTAAAGTAGAAGTCCAAAGTATATATTTTTTTTCCCAAAGAAACTGGCTGACACAGTTACAGAGACAGAAAGGTGCCAGTAGTACCATAAACAGAATTGCTACGTTGGAGCTAACATGCCTCATCAGAGCAATGAGGTTTTGTGGATGAGTACTAAACACATGCACAAAAAACTCAAGGGATCTACTGCCAGTACTGTAGCACCCACAAACTAGACAAAGGAAGCCCCATCATAATTTGTCAGCTTACACCTGTATGGAGGCAGGTGTCTTTCTGCAAGGTATTTTTCTTAATTCTTTTTTTTTTTTTTTTTCCCGAGACAGGGTTTCTCTGTGTAGCTTTGCGCCTCTCCTGGAACTCACTCTGTAGACCAGGCTGGCCTCGAACTCACAGAGATCCGCCTGCCTCTGCCTCCTGAGTGCTGGGATTAAAGGCGTGCGCCACCACCGCCCGGCTTAATTCTTTTTTAAAAATTGTGTGCGTGTGCGTGTGCGTGTGCGTGTGTGTGTGTGTGTGTGTGTGTGTGTGTGTGTGTGTGTATGTGTATGTGTATATGCATACACATTCCATGAGATGTGTGTGTGTACAGGTCAGAGGACAACTTGCAGGAGTGGGTTCTCTCCTTCCACCATGTAGGTCTTGGGGATAGAACTCAAGGTCATCAGGCTTAGTGGCAAGCACCTTTACCACTGAGCCATCTTACCAGTCCATATTTTTAAAAATTCTTTCAAAATCTAATTTGGAATAATTTTCTAGCTGCTCCTTAGTCCTCTCTAATACTATTAATAACCAAACAATTATGGATAATTACAGTTAACAGCTATATGGCTTATTATGTGCTAAGCTGTCCTCAGCAGTTGGTTATCTCATTTAATGAACCCTAAGCTGAGGCAGATATTCTTATCATTCTCATTAAAATGAAAAAAAAACAAAACCTAAAACTTGAGCATAAGTTGTCATAGAGATAGTAGGGTGCAGAATCCAAACCCATGTACGTAATTGCTATGTCTGGAGGCTGCCACTAAAATGTTGGCATTATCCAGAGTTTTACCCTGCATCTCCTTTTTCCTCAGCATTGAACATTTGTGTGCACAGCTCCTTTACCCCCCCCCCCCCTTTTAAAGATTTTTATCCTTATAGTGTACTTATGCCTGATTGTTTTCACGTGCCCTTTAAAACTATCTTCCTTTCCAAACTGCAGACTCAGTCAGGTAGACCAAACATGAATACAGGGCTTTACTAAATAAAGCTCTTTTAAAAATATATTTATTTGTTTATTTATCTTATGTGTGTGTGTGTGGGCACAGGTGTGGTGGAGGTGTGAGCACAGAGCCATTCTCTCCTTACACAGTGTGAATTCTGGGGTGGCGCATCATTAGTTAGGCTTGGCAGCAAGAACTCTTACACACTGAGCCATGGGGCCAGAGAGATGGGAAAAACGTGTGTGGTTTGGATGAGAATGGTCCTCCTAGGCTCATATATTTGAATATAAATAAAGCTCTTCTTAATGAATTCTCTTAAGTGGAATGGAAGGTCCATTTGTCACACTATTGGTGGCACTTGATCAGATAACTGAGATGGTGTCTCAGGTGCTGTCTACTGGGCTTCTCAGCATCATAAAGTTACCTAGTTTCCTTTGCTACACGTTAGTTGTTGTGGTTCTGGTGGTGTAACCTAAGGTCTTAGACAGGCTAGTCAAGTGCTCTACCTTTAAGCTACTCTCCTAGCCCTTCCTTTATAATTACTAAGAGTTTTGTGGGGATTTCCTTGAAAGTACGTATGTTACAATCCTTGTGGAACTTTCAATTTATATATTTTACACCTGTGTGATTTCCTATGCTGTATGTTGGGCTATAATATGCGATCATTAACAACAGACTGAAGCTCTGGGCCAGGGAGATGGTTCAGCAGGTGAAGTGCTTGCCATGCCAGCCTGAGGACCTGAGTCAGCCCCACCTCCAGACGGAACGGTGGAAGGAGAGAAGTGACTCTGTAGTTGTCTTCCACAAGTGCGCGTGCGCTGCCCCACAGCATGTGTACAGTCGCTCTCACACACAATAATCATGAAGCTCATTCAGTCTCAATTCAGTCTAAGAAATGCAAGTTGGCCGATAGCCTTTTGACTTGCTTTATTCGTTTTTTCGCTTTTTTTTTTTTTTTTTTTTTTTTTTTGCTTTTTCGAGACAGGGTTTCTCTGTGTAGCCCTGGCTATCCTGGAAACTCGCTCCATAGACCAGGTTGGTCTCAAACTCACAGAGATCCACCTGCCTCTGCCTTCTGAATGCTGGGATTAAAGGCGTGCGCCACCATGCCCGGCAGGTTTTCTTAAATTCTTTTATCTGACACACAATTAAGTCTCCAAGTTCATCTTGCAATCTTTTCTCCTTCAGTCTTGGAGTCGACTATTTTGCTAAGAAAAATAGAGAGTTGTATTTAGAAGCCAAACTCTGGACTCATTGTTTTATGAATTCACTGTTCACAGATCCTCTCAAGGGACAGAGTATGAACATACTTGTATTTCTACAAATAGAGACTGATACCGCTATTAGTAGCCTACCAGAAAAGGTTTTTCTAGTTTTCTTCTTCCATAGATGTGCTTTCTTTTTCAACAAGGAGAAACTGGGCTTCCATTTTCCTTAGTATAATTACCTACTGGAGCAACAGGCTGTACATAGCCAGTACCCTCTTTATTTTCTACCCAGTGTTAACTTCACAGGTGTGCCCTCAGAGAACACTATGCACCAGGCTGCTTTCTGCATGGATGCCTCCGGCTTTAACCCGACAGCTTTGGTGCCTTTCCTTCACAGGTTGTATTGTCCTTTGACCTCATGAAACCTCTACAAAAACGTTAAACTCATTCTTTTTGTTTCTTCGTTCCCTCCTTCTTTCCTCTCCTCTTGCCTCAGTGAGGTAAGTAAGGAAGGCATTATTAGCCATAATTTTTAAAAGATCTTTGGGGAATTGGTCAACCCATTATACATGTGCTAAAATTACATATGCTTCAAATTCATTGAGTTTGTGTCAAGTATGATTGTCTTTTCCTCTGATGTGAGAAACAGTGGTGTGGTACAGAAAGGACTCGGTGTAGAATGAAGAAACAAGTTTAGTTCCAGTTCGGAGACTGGCAAATTACTTTTCCCCCACTAAAAAAGAAAAAAAAAAAAAAAAAAAAAAAAAGCCGGGCGGCAGTGGCACACACCTTCAATCCCAGCACTCGGGAGGCAGAGCCAGGCAGATCTCTGTGAGTTCGAGGCCAGCCTGGACTACAGAAAAACCCTGTCTGGAAAAACAAAAACAAAACAACAAAAAAAGAGAGGCTAGAATAGACTAAGGAGATTTACTGCTTGGGAACAGTGAGTTGATTCACCTGCCCATCTTCCCAAGAAAAGTTACCTAGGGAGCTTTATTGCTTTCCCTGGATATAAATGCTCACAGAAATTCAGCTTCCAACACTTGATTTGATAATCCTTAACAGTCTTTCTATACGGTTCATTTTTCTCTATTCGATATTTGTTAGGTGCTTTTATTCGGTGTACCACCTGACATCTGATTTGGCTTCATCTTTCACTGAAAACAGTGACAGCCTGTGGTGCACCGAAGACTACTGAACGATCCTTTTTTTTTTTGTAGCATCTCTCTTCCCAGGGAAAAGACGGTTCAGATTTTCTCCCCACCTTCCCAATTAGCATAGCAGAGTAGTCACAGCCAAGTCTCGTTATTTATAAAAACGCCGGTTCTTCCTCCTCTCCCCAAGCCCATTTCAAGACTGGTGCCGCACTGGCGACAGATACTAACGGAATTCCTCCTGGAGACGAGGCTCTTCCTCCTAACAGTGGCTCCAGCCAACACACCGATTTCCAAGTTGCTCTCCGGGAATCTGAGCGCGACGCTTTCGGAAGTTCGCGTGCGTTTCACAAGGCATTCCTCCACTTCGGGAGGCACAACTGCCTGACGTGTCACCCCGGCTGGGGCCCACGCAAGCCGGGGGTGGCATCATCCTCAGTGGGCGGCTGCTAACTGACGCGAGGCGAGGCGACCCTGGAGGGCTGAAACTTCCTGGCTTCTGCGCCTCAGAACAGAACCCACCACCTCGTCTACCCTTGTTCACACGGCAGGACCCCCGGTCCCCCGGTTCCCCGGTCCCCCGGCCCCCGGCCGGGACTCTCACTCGGAACCAGCGAAGCCCGCTCCACGCACGCTCCCGCGGCCGTCCTCCGGCCGGAGCCGCGCGCCCGCCGCCGCCGCCGCCGCCGCCGCCGCCGCCGCCGCCGCCGCGCGCGGCGTCCCCGCCCCCTCCCCGACCCGCCAGCCCTTCAGCCCGTGGCCGCGGAAGGAGCCGGGAGCGCGCGCCGCGGCGGGGAACGTGCCCGAGACGCACAGCCCCGCGCCGAGCGCCGGAAGCAGCGGGCCGGGCCTCGCGCACTGCGCGCGCCGCCCCCGCCCCTGCGCCGCGACCTTGCTCGCGCGCGCGCACTGAGGCGCCGCCGCCGCTGCCGCCGCCGCCGCCGCCGCCGCCGCCGCCGCCGCCGGGGCTGCTGCTCCGGCTGCTGCAGGAGGCGGCGCTGGCTGGCGGCTGCGCTCGCTCCAGTCGGCGAGCGGAGGAGCGAGCGAGCGAGCGTGTGTGTGTGTTTTTTAAAGATGGCCGGAGCGGCGGCGGCGGTGGCCGCGGGAGCAGCAGCTGGAGCCGCCGCGGCAGCGGTGTCGGTGTCGGCTCCGGGTCGGGCCTCGGCGCCCCCTCCGCCTCCGCCCGTGTACTGTGTGTGCCGGCAGCCGTACGACGTGAACCGCTTCATGATCGAGTGCGATGTCTGCAAGGACTGGTTCCACGGCAGGTAAATAAACCCCCTCAGCCCCGCCGCCGCCGTCGTCGCCCGCGGCCACCGGCCAGCCGCTGCCGCCTGCGCCTCCCTGGGGCTGGGCCGCCGCGTCGCTCCCCCACGTCCCGAAACCCGGGCACTGAGCCCCCCGGGCCGAGCGGAGGCGAGAGCGGGGGGTCCCCGCCTGCCGGGCAGGCTGAGGAGCGGAGCCGGTGGGCTCGGCCGGCCCGGGCGAAGAGTCGCCACAACAAACAGGAACAAAGGGGCCGGCGGAGAAGTTGGCAGGGGAAGCCCGGGCGAGGGGACGCGGCGGGCGGCGCGGCTCGGGTGGCGGCGGCGGCGGAGCGCAGGCAGGCCCGCAGCCCGTCGTCCCCCCACTGCCCTGGCTGCCGCCGGCCGCCGCGTCCCGGGCTCCCGCCGCCCCGCGCCTGTCCTCGGCGGCCGCCGCCGCGCCTGCTTCGTTTCCGGGCGGCAGCCGCTCGGTCCGGCCGCGCGTCGCCCCCGCCGCGGGTCCCGTCGCGCCCCCTTCTCTCTTTATCAAAACTTCCTCGGGCGGCGCGACGGGACCCGCGGCGGGACGACGGCGCGGGGCGGCGAGTAAACAGAGCAACAGATGAGGCACTCGCGGCTCGCGAGGTGCGGGGCCCCGTCACGGCGCAGTTTGCCTGGCCGCCGGCCCACCCCGCAACACACCCCCTGCGGCCGGGGGCGGGCGACCAGGGTCCGGGCACGTCGCCGCAGATCCTCCCCGGCGTCGCCGTCGCGCCTCAAACTTTACACTGAGTGCGGTCTCCGGCCACACCGGGACGGCCCACAGCGGTGGCCCGGGCGCCGGGGCCAGCCAACTTTGGGGTGGTGCGGTGGCGGACGTTGCCCTCGGATGCCACCGCCGCGCCGCAGGTTTGACGTTTCGGAGAGCTCGGGCCGCCTCCGCAGCCAGGCCGCCGACTCGTGTGTTTTGTAATCAAAGTGTGAGGCTAATAAAGGGCGGCGCCACAGCCTCTTGACTCCAGCGTGGGAGGGATTCGCAGGCATTTAAACAAAGAAACTAGTTGGGGTTGGGCTCCCAAAGTCCTTATTTGGGTGTTGTGGCAAAGCCTGCGGTCACCTTTAGGTGAGGCAGGTTTTCTGGGCACCGTTGGATGTTGTATCTCGACGAGAGCCCGCTCGGGAGTTATAGCTGATACGGTGACTGTGGTTGTAGGAAGTATCCTTTGATTGACAGCAGGGCATTTAAATACAGCCCCCGCTTCCCCCCTCCCCAATTTTACAGAAACATTGCACCACCAGGCCAGATGTCTTAGTCTCCCTCTACTGGTCTAGGGAGAGAAAACCATTGATATTACAGGGTTCTTTTCAGTGGTGATGACTAATTAGGTAGAGTTTGACTTAATTTTCAAGTACAGTTAAATTTTACTGAGTTTTAAAGTTAGGTGTCCCTAACAAATAGCACACACAAAATTATCACTTTAAAAGCAGAGTTATGCACTCATTTTGTGTAAAGGCAGACTTGAGCAGTCTGACAAAAGGTGGAGGGTATTGTAATGTCTGCCACTTAGTAAATGTTTTCCTGTATTTTGATTTATACGCAAAGGTGAAATTTGTAGGTCCTAGACCCTTCCAATTCTATGCCTACATTCTCTGCTTCTACAACATTCCAAGGAACCAGAAAAGATTACCCAACATTAAATTCTAAAAAGAATAAAACAAGAATTAATTGCAGTGTCAGAAAGGTTGAGTTTTCCAGGGACCTGTTGAAAGAAATATGCCCCATTGTGTAATTCACAGATCTGATAGGTTAATAAATTATAGATTTGATGTTTTTAAAGCTAATTTTATTGTCACATGGGTGCTGGGGAGTCAACTCAGGTGCTCAGGCTTGGGCTGCAACCTCCCCATCCCCTGGTTCTTTTGAGGCAGGGAGTCTCTGTATTAAGCCTGGCTATTCTGAAAGCTTTGTTGACCAGGCCTCTAACTCAAGAGATCCACCTGCTTCTGCCTCCCAAGTGCTAGGGTTAAAAACATGTACCACCATGCCCAGCTGCAGTTTTTTGGTCTTAAATTAGGTGTCTTAATGCTAGGCGTTTCATGATAAACCTCTGGCTGTTTTTGTCACACATTTAAGTACCAGTTTGCACACAGGTGTTGAAGAGGCAATAAAGAAGGCCAGTATCTATCTTCGTCACATATACATGTGATTTCATCTGTGGAGGTGACTCGGGTGAGCCCAAGGTCCTTTTGATCACTAATCTTTGAGATGTTAAAGTGGTACACGTGTTAGAAGTTAGAAAAGTTAGTCATACTGCTGTGCCCTGTCAAGTGATATCTTCTTAGTAAGTCTAATTTTTAAATACTGATAATTTAGAATCTATATGCCTTGCCTATGATTGATATTTATTCTAGTGAGTCACTTTTTATACACACTGAAGTATTACTTACATATTAATTACTAAACATTATTTACGTACATGAGAATTGGTCCCTAAAGAACCCTCAGTTTTCCAAAAAAAAAAAAATGGTCCATTTGCAGAGTAGGGAAGATAAACAGTCTTTACATGGACGATTTCTTTATTTCTTCTAAAATTTGTTGTTATTGTGTATTATGATGTGTGTGTTCTAGGGGTGGAACTCAGATTGTCAGACTTGCATGGCAGGTACCTTTATCAAGCATATCTATTGTCTGGGAACCTGAATTTGTTTTAATTTCTTTTGAGAAAGAAGAAAGGGTCTTCCTTGATGCAGCTTTAGCTGCAGGGTGACTAGAACAGCTTCTTCTTGGGTTGAGACTGTTGAACTTTGGTGCATCCTTGGTGATCAGGAATTCCTACCCCTGAACCTGCCTAAGCTTTTTTGCAAGGGAGAGAATAAAAGGACACTTAACCAATAGGTTGTAATGTGTAATTGATACCCTGGGGTCAGTGAGCTGAGAGATGGGCAGGATTTTCCTAGGGAGTTTCTTTTCAACTTAAAAGTTGAAGAGTTCTTCCTCCAGTCCTGGTGGAAGTAAGACAGTGGATGCAGGTGCTCCTTGGTGCTGCTGCAAGACTTTGATGGTACTTTGATATCATCCATTGTATTAGAATGGAGCCGGGTGGTGGTGCACGCCTTTAGTCACAGCACTTAGGAGACAGAGGCAGGCCGATCTCTGAGTTTGAGGCCAGCCTGGTCTACAAAACGAGTTCCAAGATGGCTAGGACTGTTGCACAGAGAAAGAAACCCTGTTTTTGGGGGAAAAATTGTACTAGAATGTTGTGTCCTGTTTAAAATTAAACACTTATATATCTTTGTAATTACATATTCTTTAGGTTTTTTTTTGTTTTTTTCGAGACAGGGTTTCTCTGAGTAGTATTGGTGCCTGTCCTGGATCTCACTCTGTGGACCAGGCTGGCCTTGAAGAGATGGGTCTGCCTCTGCCTCCCTACTGCTGGGATTAAAGGCGTATACCACTACCGCCCAGCTATTCTTTAGGTTTTATAAGAGTAATGTATTATAAAAATTAAAAAAAAATAGAGAAATAAAAATAATATGAAAGTCCATATCTTTCATGGGTAACTACTGTTTAATGTTTGAGATAGGATTTTTTAAAACAAAATCGGAATTTGCTTTATGTATTCTGTTACTTTTTAAAACTAGTGTGTGCTTTTTGTCATATTTTTAATGCTGTTTGAAAATTTTTTTAGTGGCTGTGTAGTATTTTTTTGGCCATGTAGTGTTTAATTCCACAAAAGCACAACATTTAAAAGTCATTTTTCTGTTGTTATTACTTTACTGCACCTTGCATTTATTAATGGTGATATGATTTACACCCTTTTAACCAAAATTTTGTGGGTATCTCTGTTTCCTTAGATTAACTCAAATAGAGAACCTGGCTCATGCCAGGTATTCAGTAAGAAATTCCTTGAAAAAATTGGTGGTTAGAAGGTACAGTTGTTTTTGGTTTGACGGATCTTTGCCAGGTTGTCTTCTGAAATGTTCAGTTTGTTCTTGAGCAGTACCCATATTAGTTCCCAGTGTCTTTGACAATATAAAATGTTACTTTCTTTGATGGACAAACAACTTTGGCAATTTGTATATAAGTGAATATTATTAAAAAAAAAAAAGCCTTGGGCATAATGGTGCATGACTGTTAACTAGCATTCTGGAGATGGATGGTTAAGGGAACACAAATTTGAGGCTAGACCAGGCTACTTAGTGAAACTATCTAAAAACAAAACAAAAAGATGAAAGAAAAAGTTACCAAAAAAAACCAAAAACAAAAAAACTAGTACCCCAAAATGGTTTATAACTGTCCTCAAACTAAAACAACCCAGATATTAACAGTAGATTACACAAATTTGGTATATTCATAAAGTAGAATAAAACACAGCAATAAAAAAGAATACACTGTTGGTTCATGGAACAACATGGATGAAACTCACAAATGTAGAGTTGAACATAAAAAGGTAGATATGAAATAAATACTCTTTTTAATCCCAGCATTTGGGAGGGACAGGCAGACAGAGTTCTGTGAGTTATAGACCACCTGGTCTATGTAGCAAGTTCCAGTCCAGCCAGGGCAAATAGTGAAACTCTGTCCTCAAACAAAAAGTACAACAAAATGTTTTTAAAGTTAAGAATTGTTCAATTTGGCAGCTGACAACATTCAGGGTATTGGTAATGCTGCTTTTCTGTGGTGCATTTGTGGAAAGCCTTGTGCATATGATGTTTTAACAAAGTGCTCGGTCAACGGAAAAAGAAATTCAATATCCTGAGTGTGGACCATGCCTGAAAACCTAGGAAGAGTCAGAATGCCTGTTTGGAGAGAAGTGGAAGAGATCACTAGTTTTGTAGACAGGCCTAGTACTTTGGATTTTACTTTTGTTTTTGTTTGTTTTGTTTTTTTGAGACATGGTTTCTCTGTGTAGCCCTAGATGTCCTGGAACTTGCTTTGTAGACCAGGCTGGCTCCAAACTCACAGAGATCCACCTGCCTCTGCCTCCTGAGTGCTGGGATTAAAGGAGTGCGCCACCACTACC